AATAGAAATTGGGGGGGGGGGGGGGGAATAATGTCTATCCTAAGCAATATCATCGGAGACTATCTGTATCCTTCGCCATTTCTATGTATTCATTTGACAATATTCTACAACTTTCTGGTACAGTACGTATTAGACGGTATCTGCATCTCTCGGTTTCCTTTTTTCTTTTCAGCAATAAGAAAAATAATGTTGCAGGCAGAAAGGTCTGAAATTGCATCCATTATGATTTAGCCGACCTCGGTTGGATGGAAATACATACGATTTATTTGAGCCTGTATTTCCCAGCGCTTCAAGACTATGCAGATGCATTCTGTCTTGGCAAAGAAAATCCAACAGGACGAAACCATGAACGTGGCACGAACTTACCAGCTGTGTCCTTTCTATTTGTCTCTTCGCCAATGTCGCTAAAACGGCTACCATGTTTCTCCGGACGCAGCGTGTTTAAAGGAAATCCTAGGATTTTCCTAGAATTTTCCTAGAATTTTCCTAGGATGCCAATGAAGCCTTGGGTACCGTAATACGACGGCGGGGTGTTTGTTCATCTCGGGAAGAGTGAGAAATGGTTGGGGATTCGGTATGATACCGGGCAACCGAGGGATGAAGTGCTATAGAAAGAGAAACTGGTGGCTCTTTGAAGGCTCAGATAAGCCTTCTTTTGTGTCGAAGCGCCCCACACAATTTGTATCTACACATTTCTCATTGGTTTCCGCATACATTGTTGTTCAATCGTAAATCATATTTGTTACCAGTTCAAAACATTGTTCAAGTTACTTTTAATTTCACTTTCTTTTGCTCTGCTTAAACGCTCAACTATTTGTCAACTGTAAGTTTCAAATTGTCAGTTTGCTTTAAAAATATGTTTACGCAAATTTTATTTATTTTTCTTCAGTCTTAAAGCCTCATAGGCATCTTTGATAATGATACAACTTTAATATACAATTTTGAATTCGTTGTTTTGACGATTCTCGATTTAAAGTTGTTTGTACAATAGACATTGTATCAAAAGACGGGTGCTAATTTTCTTTCGAGCACGATTTTCCCTTTTCCTTGAGATCGTTTAGCTCTCAGAGTTTCCGGGAAAGATCACATTCTCGTGATGTTGAAATCAGGCTGTTTCCTGTCCTAAATTCATTCCTGAACCTTCAAGTGACAATCCGTCTGCTCATATTCAGCCCCAGAAGGCAACCTATGCAATCCTATAAACACCGGTGCACTCCTCTCTATTTGCTGAAGGATTCGACGGAATTTTAAGAAATCGTCACCATGTTCGAATTACGTGGAGAATACACGATAAATCGTGGTTAAAAGGACACGTGAAGTATTGGCGAGATCGATGAGGACAGAGAAATAAAAAAGGTAGCTGCGGTAGATTTAAACGGATAAAAACGTAAAAGATGATTTTTTAAATTTACAGAATCACTCCTGGATGTTTGCACATTCGGAGGATGGACATAAATGCAAATTCAAGGCTAACTTATCAAAGTGGACGAGTGAACGTGGCGAACTCTGAACTCTTATGAACTCTTCTCCATTTGACGTAAATGGTTCAAGTTGTTATATATACATATATGATGAAATCAGGGATAGCACTACTGATTTTCTTTTCTAAAGGACCGCGCAGAAGTGAAGAAAGAGAAAGGAAAAAAGAATTCAATTGTCCTGTCAACCGCGCATTCAATGCCATTGGGACTACCGTCTTTAGAAGGACCGGAAGTAACTGTTCCAAAGTCTGTTGGTCTTTCACAGAGTAATGGACGATGGACAATTTTATTTCTTGGTTCGGTAGCTCGAAACGAGAAGATATTGTCGACGCTGATTAAAGTGACTCTGCTCTGGGACTCTTTCACCTTAATAAATTAGTCTCTCGTCTGACCTATGTGAGTCCAACCATTAATTCAATCGAGAATTCATGCCTTCTTTACTGCCCGACATCGATAGTCGTTTCTACTTTTAACTCGTGCCTGTAACTTGTCTTTCCCTTAAGGGGTTAGGCCACTCTAGGATTTTCAAAAAATCGATTTTTTTTTTTTTTTTTTTTTTTGTTAAAAAGGTACCTCAGTATCTATAGAATTATATTACAAAAGATTATGTGCGTGAAAAATCCCTGAGTACTCGATTTTCGTATTCTAGATATTGAAACATTATTTATGTTCTGACTTTCTACAAACTTTAAACACGTTTATCTCAAAACTACATTTTTCAAGTCGGCCGGAACCATAACTCAAACAAATGTCGGCCGATTGACTTCAAATTTCAACTGTATATTTAAAATTACATTCTTTACGGCAGTACGTAGGATTTTTTCATTATGTTGCATAGTTCTTTTGTTATAAATAATTTTCTGACGATATTTCATAGGATTTTATACTTTTTTTTTTGAGAAATGCGCCATTTTGGCAAAAATCAATATATCGAAAAAAATCCTGCGTACTTCTATAGCTATTTTCGTAAATCCCTCGAAAAAACTTTGGTTTTTCATCGTAACTTGAAAATTACAGGACCTATTGGTCCGGCCGTTTACCCTCCAGAAATAAAGGCGTCATCGGAGAAATGCTGCACAGTCGCCATTTTAACATATATCGCTTTGAAAAAATTATTTTTTATAGTTTATTACTTGTATAATAAAGGTCTTATTTTGTAATTCCAATTTATTTCGTGGTTCCGATGAAAAAAATGCACGAAATAAGCCTACTTTATTCGCCTCTGGAGTGGCCTAACCCCTTAAAAGGAAAGTAAACGAGCCTAGTCATTTTCCTTACTAAATTGCGTTATCTTCCAGCTCCTTTGGAATCTCCAGTAGACGGAACAAACTACACCGTCAACCTATAATTACAGTACCAGTTAGTCAGCCAACTTAGAACACTATTAGGCTTCACAGAGAATGCGCAGTTAGATCTGCTAATTGCGAATATTAGACATATTATTAGAATATCTTAGTATAACTGAGTACTTTGTATCAGTCTGACGAATACAGCAAATTCCTGAGATTAATGATTTTAGCTACCCCGCTATGTCTGACTCTATTGGATAGTGACAGCAAACTTTCCACCGTCATCTTGAATAATCATCGTTCACGTCCTTGTGTAAACTTATATTCCAACTAGATAATGAATTGATTCTACTTCGTTCCCAGGGGGATACGTCAAGATTGTTAACTACGTTAGCGAATATTTACTGATAACAGCCAATAGCTAAACGCTCTCGATGGTTCTTCTTTAGTGCTATAAATTTATTTCGGACTCCTCAAATTCGACATAATTCAAACTAACTTATTGCGTATTGAAATATTTGCCATCCAACATCATAGTGCACTTTACTATTGCATTTGCGGCCATTCACGCACATCTCGATAATAATTACTCATGGTATCCAGTAGCTTGATCCTTCTGCCTGTTTAGCTAAACGAAATATTGCTCAAGCACATGTTCGATAATAATTATTAAATAATCCGATGGTATATGCACCTAAGCTCCATAAGGATATCATGCCAATTATTTTACATTTTGTACGTTGACAACGGACTGAAGATTTATTGCAAATGATAATTCTACACTGTTAAAAAAAATCTTTGGTAAAATTCATAAACATGTGCAGGAAGCTCTTTTACGGAAACCGTTTATGATATTTCAAAAAACACCATTGAATGTTAAATAACTTGTAAATTAAAAGTGAAGTCATCGAACAGTAATATTACAATTCAAGTATTGTAATTTTCAGTCCTAAATGTATGATTGCATTACGGTTGATTGAAAATTCTTATTTTACAACCTCTTATTAATAATCAGACTCGAATATATTATATTCGCTAAACGCATAATAAAATTAATGCTTGATTACAATTTTACAAAACAATCTACATTAATACTCATTTGCGTTACCTATATTCTAAATATTATATGGACCTATGTAGTAAGTTTCATCTTTTGTGTTGTAAATTTCTTAACTTTTTTAACAGTATACTGTGGGACCGAATTTTTTTATCTATATCTGATAAGAGAACTTTTTTGTACAATTTTTAATACGAGTATATGTATACTCTGACCATCAAGAGGTTTAATATATATAAGCATCGCCTAGAATTTAATCTTACCAAATACAAGCTGCACGTACTACTTGCCAGGCTACGTCAAATGTTCAGTGGGATATATAACTATATTAATTTTCTGATAAGAACACTTTTTCCAAAGTAAAGCTTGCGGTATCTCATGTTAATCTTAATCATTATAGTTTTTATAGTTCGCAGTAACTTCATGCGTTCCGGCGCTGTTCTTGCTTATTAAGGGGTGCATGCACCATAACTATTCATGACGCGGAGACCCGACATAAAGCAAAGCGTGGGATTACGCGAGAACCATAACGCATTCAAAACGCTTTAGAGCCACGGGTAAGCCAACGTCATTGTTGTCAACACGGCAGGACAAACGAAACCCCGAAACATATGATTCCCCTCTTCGTTGCCAATGCCTCTACCTCTGCGACCGCCTTTGTTTTTGCGGTTACAGCAACGTTGCATCGTTATGCAAATTCAACTCATGTTTATTCTTCGAGCCGTTTCTTTCCTTAGGGGTGCCTGCATCGCGTCAACCTATTTTCCTCTTTTTTTTTTGTGTGTGTTAAATTTTCAGATGTGACGTCATTGCAGAGCACCGACCACATTTTATACATGCATCAACTTACTTTACTCTACGTCACTTGTCAAAGTAAAAGCACGACGATCCTTTTTCATTTTTAAACTCGCAAGATCCTCCGGGTATACCGCATCGGTAAGGTGTACTCAGTGTCGGAATTATTAAATGGAAATGAAGATATATCGCAAGGAAATTGCGTCTGCTCTGAATCCTCGTCGCAAGGTAATATCGACCCTGAAATGTCTGCAAGATCATTGATAAATATTTGAAAACACATAGCCAATTGCAAAGCACCGTGAATACTATTCTTCCATTAGCCACATTTTATCCTCCCCAATCGTGAAGCAATATAAATGTACGCCTATGTACTGGATCCCCAATATTTTGGGT